TCTCAGTTTCTCCGAAACACCCGCAACATACGGAATAACCACTGGTTTGGGTCTGGGTTTGGGGTCTTCATTTTCACCTGAAGGTTGCATGGAACTATAAGGCTGGATGGGCAGGTCCAGCCTTATAGTTCTGTTTTTAAAGATATGCTACTTAAAAAAGCTCAAAGAGTATGTTTTTGGGGCAACTGAACAGATTATGATAGAAATTATAATGTTTTAAGGGTATTCTTGAAAGAACTGCACGGTTTGATTCATGAATGCCTAAATCATCTCATATTTGCAGTAATTGTTATATTTCAGTATGGAAAATTAAAAACAGGAATAGGCTGCAAATTCATTCATTCTAAAAATAATAATAAGGGATTATTAACATATTTGTTTAAATCAAACTGATCTGACAGTGTACGACGAAAAAGGTTTTCCTCTCCGGTCTCGCGCAGCCGCGCCCCGCTGCGGAGGCGGGGTCAGAGCGCGTGCGTCGTTTACGTAGCACACCTGAACCAGGCTGACACAGCAGCAGCAGCAGCGCAGCAGGCAGGTAACACCGAGCAGCGGAGCCGGAAGGACGGGCAGGTCCAGCCTTTTCCGAACACGCAGACCCACAGGTGTTTGTGACAACAAGCCTGCCGCCTGCGGTTCACTGAAAGTCCGCGGTTCATTTATGAAACAGAGTCCGAAGGTGGAGGAAACATGACGGAGCACGGAAAGAAGCTGCTGCTCATCGCTGTGGATATTGTTTGCGTCTTTGTCGGTAAGTTCTGCTCCGCCGCTGCGGCGGACAACATGGCTGGAAATGTAACCTCTGTCGCCACACGCAAAGCTCTGAAGTATTCAGTCAGACCAGCTCTTTATCAGGAATCCTGTTCATAGTGACGCACGGGACTGTTGAACAGACATAACTTAGGTTTATGAGTTCTTACAGATAATACAGGTTTACTAAAGACTACAACGCCCTGTGGAGCAGGTCATCTTAAACTCTTCTAAAGAATATCAGCACATTATGAATATTTATTTTAATTGTGAAGCAAATGTTTTGTAAGTAGTCCTTATCTTGTTGAAGCAAGCCAAGCAGACTGTGTCTCAACCCTGAGTGGGATTGTTCAATGTTTACCACTGGGAGACACTGGTCTGATTGCTTCACTGAAGCAATCAGAGGAAAGATAGAGGATTGGATGTTTTGATTTATTTGTCATTCTGTGTGTGTGTGTGTGTGTGTGTGTGTGTGTGTGTGTGTGTGTGTGTGTGTGTGT